ACCGCTTAAATACCATACAGCCGTGGTCTGCTTAAATGGTTCCCCTAGATGTCTAGAAGCAAAGGGACAGTGCAATAGAGCTGAGCTGCTGATGTAAAGATAGAAATGGATTTTTCCTACTTTACACTGCGCATTTACACCGTTTCAAATTTTTCGTGTGATATCTTCAGCCGTAGTATCGAAAGATTCGTAAGAATAGCAGAGTTATACATTTTGTCCATTAATCGGACTTTATTCAGTCAGTCAGTTTCGATGACCTTTTCTCCTTTTGGGTCACGAAGGCAGACTTGTCAGACAGTGCAGAAAACTTTTGGATACTGCACCAACGTTTGATCTTCAGAAGAAGATTACCCGAGTCTGGAGAAGAGTCCTTCGATGCTTACCCTAGGTTATCCTTGGTCATACAAAGGGTTTTTGGCCGGTCGGTTGGATAGGTAGTAGTTGTTCAATATTCAATATCCAGCGTTCTGCGCAACTCTTTGGGACAGGCTGCTGGCTGGTGTCAATCCTTGGTTCTGCAATTTAAGTCCAACATATTGTATATCAGTGGATAGCTCTCAGTGAGGGGAGCTTGATGCCGTTGTCAAATTATGAATATGGATGATATTCATTTTATGACTCAATCATGCTGACTGCGCGAGGATGCTAAGACAGCGCGCTGTTATTTGATCATGAGTCGCGGTCAATATAATTGCAATTGCTTTACCGCATCAATTACTTGGTTTAACCCTTTAGGTCATACATCGCTCAAAACCTCTTTGTGAGCAGAATATGAAACTCTTGTCACGAGGATCAATTTTACAGTTGGCATTTCGTCTGACGATTTCACAGTGACAATTACGGTAACGTCATCAAATCGGTACGCGTTGACGTTAAGATTAACAATCACGAGTTTTAATTTATGGAATTTCAAGAAAACTACCTCTATTTTATTTGCCACTAATTTTATCATGTTGCACATCAGCAAAATGCTCCGTCTGAGGATAATAGGTAACTTTAAACTTGTATATAGTTATACCCAAAAATTTCTATGTTATTTCAAATGCATAAACATTAATCGTATTGTACAAACCTGTTAACTAGAAACAGATGGTGGCATTATCAATCTGTTTCATATAATTTTCATTTTTGAACATCGCCACAGTCAAAATCAAACGACAATAGACCAACAGAAAGCCAAAAATAAATCTCTCCATCACTGAAACAATTCTTACATTACCGCGCCATTTCGTAATAATGCGCTAACCAATCGAAACAGTTAATAATATCCCTATTCCGATTGTCATTCGCAGTAGACTTTATTCTTTCCTCTTTGTCCTGGTATTTCTTTAAAATGATTGATGGCTGACCACCGGCAGCAAGCTGTTCATAGAACATTTTCTAGCCCTTCTAAGCTTTGAGGAGCCCATCGATTAATTTCCATATCGACGGGTATGACATTCTCAATTCGGTCTGAATTCGACGATGGGTTCCCTCTACATGATAATTCGTCCGGTCTTCACTGTGGATCACTGAACAACAAACCAAGTACATTTCTGGTGGAAACAGCGCTGGACACCCTATTTCCTCTACGATTCAAGCCACCGGCCTGGTTGTCTTCAAACCCATCAAGAAGTGGCTGCAGTCCGTCGAGAAATTCTTCTGCCAGTAAAGTTCAGCAGTGGGTGCAAACACCAGTGCTAATATCATCTTCGCTTTTAAAGTATAATCAGCACCGGCGTTATAAACTCCAGGCAAACACAACTCGTCCAACCGCTTCTTCACGTTGTAACTCACGTCGAGAAGCAGCCATGAACTTGGACACATGGGAACGCGTTCATCATTGCATGCATCGATGCAGTTCAGAAATATTAAACAATGCAACACAGATGAAGTCCTGGCATCGCTGCTTTCACCATCTGAAACAGCCCGTTGTACGTGGACTCATGCCTGTTTGGCAAAATCGCATGTACACCAAGATAGACACCACCAAACCATTTCCACCAGCACTGTATAAATTTGCGAAAAGTGACTGCGCTGGTGGAAATGATCAATATGCAGACCACACTCTCCACTTCCGCAAAATCTGGAGGATTGCTGAGTGCCAAGTACCACTATTCGATCGTCTCAAAGTCCACTGTCGCCAATCAGCAACTGTCCGAAAGCATCGGGTGGCGACTCGTGTCTTTTGTACCATTCCGGTAGAACCAGTATTCCTGTTTTTAAATTCAGCTGAGCAGAATGAGCAGCATTTATGTCATTCTTTCTTCTTATGACCATTTTCTTAAGAACAGAAAGATTTTGGATCCAATCCTGAACTCTTTGCGACAGTCCAACTGTGCACTGGTCAATACCTTCTACAATCCCTTCCCTCTTTTCTTCTGTGAGCGCCTTTTGACTCTGGTACAAGTTCGGCTATTTCCACACCATCAGCTGAACTGCCATCAGAGTGTTCCCTCATACCCTTGTACGCTGTGTGAATCCTTACCTCATGTTGACTCCCTTACTCATAGCGCCAAAATTTCTTTCTTTCATCGCTAGTCCTCCTGTGGAACACGTGACAAAAGCTCCCTGACGAAACCATTTTCCTATCCCGTTTCGACAGCAGCATCGGCATCCTCAATGCACTCAATGAATCGCGCGCCTCAGTAACATTCCCTTAATCTTTGGCTGCATGGTTTCAAGGGGTTCCACAGAATTGCATAATTGAATCAAAATTCGTTGAAATTCGAATATTTGACCAAAGTTTCGCAGTGTTCTCATAGAAAACTACCCGTCGACAAACAAATGATTAAAGAAAGCAAAAACTGGATCAAAATTGGCTTACGCAATGGGCAGAGATTTTTGTTTTCAGCTAAGCCACTGTATGCCGACTTCTTGACTTGACATAGCCATAATGATGAAATCAAAAATTAATATGTAATTTTCTAATTAGCAAGTTCGACAGTCTACCCCTGAACGAATGATGGTTAGATCAAGCATTTCATATTTCTATCCATCAGCTAATTACACAGATTCAACTCGCATCTAAGTGACTGATCGGTGAGTTGTGATGACCTCGTGTCATCAACATAGTGCAATCACTATACTAAACTTAGAAATTCAATGTTTTGACCAAAGTTACGTATAATGCTCAGAGGGCTATTTATTGACATGGAACGTGATGAAATTACTCCTCGCAGGAAACGAGAAT